TGTTAATAGTGCATGAGTTAACTGATTGTCAGCTTCAAATGCTTGACCACATACACACAAATGCAATTAAACAATGGACTGGATTGGCCATACACGGACCTACACCAGCATTCATACATAGTCCAGAGGGGTTAAATTTCCCGCCGAATATCTGACGTGTATCTGGAATCACATGTCCTAGCATATTCTCGTTCCATGGTTAAGGCTGACGGTCGAGTAACCCATGCTCTGAAATGTAAATTAGAAAGAGAAACTAGATGGTCAAGAAAAATGCAAAAAAATGGCTCTAGAATATGGCAAGTAGTTCACGATAGATCAGTTTATAGGGCTGAATCGAATACCAATTGGTCAAAAATTAAGCCCCATATAAAAAAAGCTATATTTGAAAATAGGATTGAATTCTGGCATCAATATGTGGAACCCTAAAGGAAATAGGGTGACCTACTAAAGCTTACACACCTTATCTCTGCAGATCTTACATGTAGATCTTTGATTTATAATTTACCTAAGGAAACTCTTGTGCATGTCCTAAATTCATGCCCTGTATCACTCGAACAGGGCCGATTTACGTGGCGGCACGATTCTATAATACATTTGCTGATTAAATATATTCTGAAATATAGGAGGGTTGACAACGTTTATGCAGACGTAAAAGGCTACTTCATAGCAGGGGGAACAGTTCCCCGAGCATCCTCATAACGAAGGCAAAACCGGATATTGTTATGGTAACAGGTAATAATATCGAACTTTTGGAATTAACCGTACCATTTGAAATGAATATCGATAAAGCGCATCGACGAGAAGAGGATAAATACAAAGATACCATCAATGATATTGTCAGAAATGGGTTTAGAGGTAAAAAGTTACCTGCCTTAAAATAGGAAGTAGAGGTCTCATTACTCCAACAAATGAATGTAGAATAAAAGATATTCTTAAGATAACTTCAAGAAACGCAAAAGAAATAATTAAGGAAATTTCAGAAACTGCTCTCGTTACCAGCTACACAATTTGGAATACTAGGTTTAACCCTGCATGGGAAAATATTACACTAATGTAATAGTTCTTGGATGGCTCTAATCTATCTGGCCGTCCGCCCTTTAATCTGAATCTGATAAATGTTTTTTTTTTTTCTTTTGATGTTTCGTTTAATATGTATTTTTTTGTCTTCCTGCATTGGTCTGTATCTACAGACCTTGACCTGGATTTGATGTGTCTTCTTTTTTACTTGAGATTAAATAAAGATGATTTACACGTGCTTGTCACCCGTTATTTTTGAAAAAAGCGGAATTTTCAAACAAAACTTTAATAAAACATTCCAAGTGATATTATATTTTTGACCACATTATAGAACGGCAAATAGTATTATAATATTATTATAGTATGACAACAGCCAACACGTACAAATGATAAAAATACAGATACGTTATGTTGGTTCCTACCTGAAATTGTGTAAAAATTGTAGAACGAATACTTGCAGATGTAGTCCTAACACGCACTGCAGCGATTTCACACTTGGTGCTCCGTTATTTTTGCATAAAAAAAAAAAAGAATTTACAAACAAAAGAATAATTTGTGAAAAGTTGTAAGACGAATACTTACACAACGTTGGCTATAATAACAAATAAGGCAGTGGTTTTTCCTCTAGATGCTTCGTTATTTTTCTTTAAAAGGGGGATTTCAAAACAAAATATAAGTAAAAAAATTCCTAATAATGCCCAATTTTGGATTGCATTATAGCGCTATATTATTATTATTATTATTATTATTATTATTATTATTATTATTATTATTAGGACAATTACAATCATCATCATAATGTTTCGCTTAATGGCGCTGTATTATTATTATTATTATTATTATTATTATTAGGTCCATTATAATCATCATCATAATGTTTGGAGTTTTATACAATTCCTCGATTATTAAGATTATGTAATATACAATACAGTATTGTGTTGTGTGATTGTATTGAATACAGTATACCAGGGAACAGTAAAATTTCACTGTTCCCTGAGTATACTGATTCGGTGCTAGATAACAGGATAATAATTGTGAGGCTAGTGTTGAGAACAATAGGCCTACGTTTA